AAGCCTTTCTATTTTTTAATTTTCTACCAAAAGGAATTGTGAAAATATACATACAAAATTAGATTTGAAATTTGACAATTTTTGTAATAAAAACCAATTTTGATTTATGAAGCTTATAATTTATAATTACAAATTATAAAAAATTTTCAATAAACATATATTTTGAATTTTTAAAGATTTAATTTCCTTAAATAATAAATATCGAGCACAAAAACTAAAAATATAAATTGTCGAAATTACTAAAACATGATCAAAATAGATACCAAATTATTAAGGCTTTGTTTAGAACATCTTTTTGTTTTCTTCTTAAAGCAGTTTTCTAGTATAAAATTTTTAATTTTTTTACTAAAAAATTGCTTAGATAAATAACAAAAAAAGTTGTCCCAAATTAAACTTAAATTATGATAGATGACTTCCATTTTCATGGCCTATTGCTTACAAATTACACCATTTTTTTTTTCATTTTTACCATCTTAGGAATAATTAAAAAAAAAATATTAGGATATCCTAATTTTACTCTTTGACACACATAACATTCATCTCTCATTATTGGACATTCACGCAATTTTGTAATAGAATGACCATAATTTTGAATGTCAAATAGACAAATAGTTATATTATTTAAATATATTTATCTAATAGTTTAACTATATATATTTTTGAGATTGGTGAGCATTCAACCATCAATATGCGGGAGTTAAATTTTCTCCAATAGCCCTCACACTTACAATGTTTAAGAAATGTGGAGGACTTGATGCACAATTTTTTCTTCAATTATATTAGAACCATAAATACAAAAACATCAAGAATAGCTTTCGGTTTATACATGTATTTAGGATGACATGTAATTTTGTAATTGGCTCCCTATACCCAGTCCGTACCGTCAGCTCTCTATATATAGGGACCAATAGCTGCTGTGCATCCGTTTTTTTTTTTCTTTTTTTTTCTTTTTTTTTTGGGACATTTAGGCCATTTAAGGCAAACTCACACACACAACGCATACACCAAGTCTCGAACCCAAGACCTCTTAGTTGGAAGCATAGCTCTCAACCAACAGATCAAGGTGAGCTATGTGCTATGCATCAGTGAATAATAATAATATACTTTCTCTTTTCTACTTTTTACAAGAAATACTTTCTTTCCTTGGTCCATTGGTTTCTTCAAATTAGGAGCCACATTTTTTAATCATATTTTAATCCCTAACATATTAATGTTTGTAATTTAGACTGAAGAAAACAAAAAAACTTCCATAAAAATGATCACACCCTCATAGGAAATGAATAAAATTTGTAAGATATCAATCATAATGTTTTGAGGGGCTGTTTGGATGCAGAATTTGAGCATGATTGAGCTTAAATTGTGTCAAACTACAAAAATGACAGCTTTAAATTTTGTAGAATCTAATTTTTTATTTTTTATTTTACATTTTTGTCATAAATATTGGATTTGTAAATCCAAGAATTCAATGGAATTACAAGATTGAAGGACATGGAGGAGTTGTTCGGTAGCATATTTGAAGCAAGATTTACGCAAGATTTATCATATATCCTGCCAATAAAAAAAAGGTAGCCATAAATTCTCACCCATCATAAATGCGGGATTTACCCTTTTTTGTTGTAAGTTTGGGATTTACTAAAATTCATAGTTTGACAGGATTTAAAGGGATTTATGGATTTGCAAAGAGCTTCGTGGCAAGTTTTGGTTATGACTTCCAATTTGACATGAACAATATTGTAGAAATAGGCGAAATAACTTCTTTAGCGACTCTTATAAAGCCTACTACACTTGAAGTAGAAGGAGCAACGAAGAAGATAAATGATAGGCCTTAGACAGGCCTTTAGGTTTATGAAGGGCATAGAAAAAGATAAAAGTTATTTGATTTGAAGGTTGATATAAGTGCTTTTAAAATCGGATCGGATCGGCCGGTTCAACCGGTTGAACCGCAAACCAGCTGGCTGGCAGGTTACGGATCAACATATAATCGGTTTCGCTCAAAACCACCTTTGACCCACTCGAATCGACGGTTCGACCGCCGAACTGACTCTTGTTATTGATAACCGATCCGATTCAATTTTAGTGATATCTAACGGCTACGATTCGGGAATGCGAAGCACATACAAGAGAGGGAAAAATAAAACCCTCATTCAGATGATCTTCTTTTCGACTTCTCTGCTCGTTCGCTCTCCCCGTCTCGGTGTCTCGCTCATTCACGAAGCCAGAAGTCAATAAGGCAACGTCTCCTGCAGTCTACTCGTTTGCGAAGCCAGAAGCCAACAGTAGAACACCGTTTTTGCGTCTCCTGCTCCTGGTTTGTTTCTAAAGGAGTTTTGTTTTTGTTTTGTTTTGTTTTGTTTTGTTTTTTTTCAAAATCCACAGATTTCATTTGCTCTTTTTTTTTTCCTTTTCTTGTGATGGTGCTATTTTTTTTAAATATAGAGATTTCATTTGCTTTTTGTATCTTGCTCATCTCCGTTAGCAATAGTAGTTACTCTTGCTTTGTTCTCGTTGGCGAAGCTTGTTGTGAGTTTGCTTGTTTTCTTAGTAAGAGTCTTTTATCCTATTTTAGATTCATGAATTGTTTTACATTTGTATTAAGCTTGCATTCTTCAATTTGGAATGTCAAATTGCTCTGTTGTAATGTTCCTCGTGAGACAGCCCTTCCATACATAAGATAGTTGTGTCATTATTATAATATTTAAATATAATAAGTATGTATTATGTCATCCGGTTCGACCTCGGTTCGTCTCTGATAGAACCATCAAACCCCTAACCTCTCATTCTTCCGGTTCATTGACTGGCCCGGTTTTAAAAGTCTTTGTTGATATAGAATCGATAGAATAACTGGGTTACTTGCCTTTGAGAATGTTAGAAGATTATTATAGATTTTTAAGAACCGATTGTATCATTTTCCTGTTTATGTCAGCTTTGTGTTTCTGTTAAACTATTCTCTCTAAGTTTTTGGTTTGGCTTTAAGGAAGCTAGGCCAAGCGATGCAAGCTTATGATGTAAGTTGAGTTGGTTTTGTTTGGTGAAACTAAATAAATAAATAAATACATAAATAAATAAATATTGTTGTAGGCTAGAATATACATGACGATAGAGTTATAAATTTTTTGTGTCAGCATTGTACGGATATCCAACACACAAACATAAAAAAAATGTAACATCATAATTTTTATGTAGAAATCCTGAAAAAGGGAAAAAACACGGGGTCACGCCCAGTTGATAGTATTTAACTAGTGTTTGATTAGATTACAAGTGGCTGACTCATCCCTGAAAATTGAGGACAAGCAGATTACAATAATCAATTGTCGGTTTTAAATTTAGTTACAAACGGGGTTCAAAAATCCAACGACATTTGGTGGTCGGGCGGAAATCCTACTTCAATTGACGTTCGGGCAGAAATTCGGTGTTAGTTGGCTATCGAGCAGAATTCCGGTGTCATACGACAATCAGGCAGAATTCCGGTGTCATACGGCAATTAGGCGGAATTCCAGCGTCAGTCAGCAGTCGGGTAGAACTCCGACATTGGTCGGCTGTCGGGTGGAAGCTCGATGCTGGTCGAGAAGGAGTTTGGTGGTAAGAAAGCTCTCTTCCTTCTCTTCTTGCTTGGGGATCCCCTCTCATGAGAAATAAGGAGTCTATTTATAATTTTATGAGAGTGACATGACTAATAAATAGAAGAAAGATCAAGAGTAAATTGTGAGTTGTTTAAATGGACGACCAATGTTGATTCCCTTGGTCATTAAATGTTTACTGGACATTTGAATGTTTTAATGATATTAGAATTTGACAATATTAGGCTCGTTGGATCCATCTCGTCGAGCCGCTCAATTCGACTATAAGCAAGCCACATTTGGAAACCGTTTAGTAATTCAAATTATGATTTGAACCTTCCAAAGGCGCTTCGGGTATTTGTTTGAACTTATTTGGGCTCGGATCAAGTCAAATTTGGTGTTGTTGGGTTTCTATTTTTGAGACGCTCAATTGGACTATACGTTTGCTTAAATCAGAGTTAGATGGTTTCCATTTTAATTTTTGAAAATTTCAACTTAAATTTGCTTCGAGATTCATGTCCCATAAAAATTATTTGATGATATATCAAATGTAATTGAGATAGGCTTAGAATACTGTTTGGTTGAATTTTGGTTAATTAACTTATGATGGTGTCTTACTATTGTATTCATATGAGTTGTATTATTAGAGGAGCTTAACTTTAAATTTACTTAATTAGAAGATCAACAAGTTATCGTTAAACATTTTTATATAATCATTTAAAATGATACACGACCAAGTTAATCCTCTTTTAATAATTAGCATGTTTGTCTTCATTTGTATACTTGATGGCTTATTTATACACTCAATAGTCAATATGCAAATTATTTCTATATATAGATAACATTTAGATCCTTAATCATAATAAATCCTAAAATATGTAGCAAATAGTTTATCGAGATTTAACAGGATTTACACTATGTAATGCCAAAAAATTTTCAAGATTTAATAGTCTCTGAATTTGATAAATTCTTATTTATAGGATTTACTAAATCTTTCTTGAGTTAAATCCTACATGCAACCAAACAACTCCGAAGTGTAGGGGAGAGATGAGAATGACTTGTTCTTCATCTGTTTAAGTTCGACGGGCAATCCAACGAAGGTGAGATCGAGGGTCATGCCTTTGAATCTTCTTGAAAATGAGAGAGCAAAGATGATAATACCTTAAGAGAATTACAACTAAAACTTTGCTTCATATAAAGTCAAAACAACAATGAAGAAATGACAACGAGGAAAAGGAAATCCTACATAGGCTTAAGGCTCTTGGAAGCACATAAAAAAAATTAGAAAGGAGAGAAATTATGAAGAAAGCATTTATTTATTTATTTTTTGTGTTTCATGTGGGAAAGAAAACTTCTTAATTTTTGTGTTTCATTAAAATTCTCGATTATAATTCTTTTTTAAATAAATTCAGAAATTCTTTATTTTATTAGTTTAATATTTCCGTGTCATCTACTACTCGTCAGAGCCATGGCGATTGCGAGCTTCGTCTCTTCCACCGCCGCCTCCATCGGAAATCCTTCCCTCTTCATCCAAAACCCTAATCCTAAGCCCATCAGTTATATCCTTCTCTCTGATCCTCATCATCACAAAGCCCTCGCCCTTCGCCATCACCGTCGGCCGCCCCAAGCCATAGCACTTCGTTGCTCCTTCGTCGCTACACCTCCATCACCTCAGCCGAACCTTCTTTCAGATTCCACCCGCACAATCTACTCCCTCATGTCCCTCACCCTCTCCGCCGTTCGCCGCCTTTTCGCCGCAGCTGCGGCGGCGGCGGCAGCTCCTACCCCGTCTGAGCTTACTGAGATTCAATCTCTGCGGGGTTGTCTCGCTTGCAGTGTTGGGCCGCTCTTCTTCGCAGCCCTCCGGGACCGGCCAAGTGGGTATTTGAACACTCCGCTGACGGTTGTTGCGTCGGGCATGGGTAAATGGCTTGACATCTACAGTGGCGTCCTTATGGTGCGGGTCCTGCTCAGTTGGTTTCCCAATATCCCGTGGGATCGGCAGCCTCTCTCTGCCATTAGGGATCTCTGCGATCCCTATCTCAACCTTTTCCGCAACATAATACCGCCGATTTTTGACACGTTAGACGTCAGCCCGCTTCTAGCTTTTGCAGTATTAGGCACGCTTGGTTCGATCCTCAAGAGCGCTCGAGGAATGTACTAGGTTTAAGACTTCTGGAATGGATTCGTTCCTTTTCTTGATGATATATGGCTGCAGAATTAGTATTTGGTATATGTCAATTTCTTGAAAAATGAAAATCATCCTTCCATACCTGTTAATGTGTTTTTTTTGGGTTTGTCATTTTTATTTTTAAACTGAGAAACTGTTTGGCTGAGGGATATTTAAGATTTTAAATTTTTAAGATGAATGTTATGTGAATACATTGTTTGCTTTGTTCATAATTATATTGAAAGATGCCAGCATTTTCTTGATTGTTGTTGTTTGGCTTGAAATTTTATGTAGAGTTATACGTGTGGTAAGATTCTTCCCTTATTTTTTACTTATTTGTAAAATATTTAATATTTTCTTAGAATTTAAAATTGGCTAAAGAACAGTTGAAGGCACAGCTAGCAAAATAGAGTTTAGAGTTCGATCTTTTGCAAAATGTACATAATTTACCAAGAGGAGATTACATGACATATAGAAAATTAACAGCACTGAAACAAATGTGAGGTTTTTGATTTATTCGAATATATAATGAAAGATTAGACATTTACTGTACACCAAATCAAGACTCATAGAATTTTAGCAGTATCTTCCATTATTCATAGTTTTTCTTAATTAAAGATGAAGACTTTCATTTTTCATGCTTAACTAGATTTTGCCCTGATTTTATCTTGTATTGTAATGTGAATGGGCTATTATTAGAATGAAGGGGAAAAAAGTGGGGTGGGGGGAGATACCAAATTTTTTTGATACTTCACAACTGGAGAGTTTAATCAGATACTTGACATTTGTTGGAGCAATACATTATCTTAATTATACTTCTCAGATACACTTTATAGTATGTTGAAGTCTTAGATTGCTGCTAGGTTGATTGACTGCAAATTGGTAAATAACATTGAGGCTTATTTGAGAAATATCCTGAAAGGTTATAAGTGTTATCATCCAACCACCAAGAAAACTCTTTTATATGTTGATATTACCTTTGATGAACAAACCTCATCTTCATGGGGAGATTGAAACTGAGGAAGATGAGTAAAGTGAGTTTGCCCCTCTTGACCTTCAAACTCCACTTCAAACCAATCCACATAAACTTAAAATCAAAGTCCAGGAAACTGAGGACAAAGTTATTATGGATAACAGGAGGTATGGGCAAGTGTATTCCAGGTGTACAAATTCAAATTATGCTCTAAAGCATATCCAAGAATCTGAACCATCTCCTAAAATTGAGGCAAACATAAGTATACCAAAAAATCTCTCTTACACCCAATAACCAACTTTGTATCCTTCCATAACCTCTCACATTCACACAAAAAAATTATGGTTACATTAAATGATATTCATATTCCTAATGATTTTTTTGAGACCTTATTTGATGAAAATTTAAAAAGTGCCATGAAAGATGATATGTAGGCCTTGAAGAAGAATAATAAATGGGAAATCACTGACCTACCAGTAGGAAAAAAAATCAGTCGGATGCAAATGGGTGTTCTCTGTGTAATATAAAGTTGATGGTACATTGGAAAAGGTATCAGGCAAGATTAGTGGCGAAATGGTACACTCAGATGTATGACATTGACTACTAGGAAATTTTTGCACCTGTGAGCAAGATGAACACTGTGAGGATACTGCTATCACTAGAAGTTAATTACAAATAGCATCTGGAATAGCTTGATGTCAAAAATGTATTTCTACATGGAGACTTGGAAGAAGAAATATTTCTGTAGATTCCACCAGGATTCACGGAGAAATCTGGGGGTGATAGTGTGTAGGTTAAAAAAGGATTTATATGGGCTAAAATAATCACCTAGAGCTTGATTTGAAAGATTCCCAAAAGTCATGCTACTTAATGGTTTTTGGCAGAGCCAAGAGGATCATACATTATTCTTTAAGCACTCAAACTCAGTAAAAATCATAATTTTATTAGTTTATGTGGATGATATTATCTTGATTGGGAATGATAAAAATGAGAAAGTGATTATGAGGAAAATTTCTTGCCAAAGAATTTGTGATCAAAGATCATAGTAGATTATAATATTTCCTTGGAATTGAAGTGGTTCAGTCCAGCAGAGGAATAGTCATTTCACAGCAAAAATTTATTAATGTTCTTCTTAAATAAACATATAAGGTAAGTTGTAAACTAGGACCAATACCAGTAGAACCAAATCTCAAATTGGGGGAAGGTAAAAGAAAATCTAAATGTAGAGAAGGAAGCTTACTAGAGACTTTGTGGGGAAATTGATCTATCTTTCCCACACTAGACCAAATATAGCGTTTGCTGTTAGCATGGTCAGTCAGTTCATGCAAAATCCAAAGCAGACTCACATGCAAGCTGTAGACAGAATAATGCACTACCTTAAGGGGAACTCGGGTAAATGGATTCTCTTCAAAAGAGATTGTGGAATAATCCCAAAAGCATATACTTATGCAGATTATGCAGGATCACCAGTTGATAGACGATCTATCTTAGGACAATGCACATTATTGGAGAAAACCTTGTTACTTGGAGAAGCAAGAAACATAATGTGATGGCAAAGTCTAGTGCAGAAGCAGAATATAGAGCTATGACTTTGGGAATATGTGAGCTACTATGGATCAAGATGATTCTAGAAGACTCAATGCTCAAGTGGGAATGACTCATGGAGTTACATTGTGACAACAAATCAACAATTAACATAACTCATAGTTCGATTCAACATGATAGGACCAAACACATAGAAGTGGAATGACATATATAAAGAAGAAACTAGATAGTGGTCTTATATGTATCTATCATGTCTCATCAAAAGATCAACTTACAGATATTCTTACTGAAGGAATTGATCATGGTTTAAAATTGCGCAATATGAGGCTCACCTTGAGGCCCGCCTTTGCGCAATTCCAATAAAAAACGCCTCAATGCTTACACCTCGAGTTTTTGTTATAAGGCTCGTGCCTCAACTTGGTTGAGGCCCGCCTCGCCTCACTGGAAAGAGGCTTATGCCTCACGCTACATATATTAAAACTTACATAAATCTTGAAGTAAATGACCGACATTGGACTCTATAGGAGAGGAGGAAGGGGAGAGAGTAGTTCATCATAATGATGATTCAAATGAAGAAACCCCTTAATGATGATAGTGCTGATGACTTATGAGTTCTTATGTGATATGTTATTGCTATTTATTTTTAGAAATTGGAATTATATGTTAATGAAAAGAATACTAGGATTTGGGAAAGATAGAATTTTGAGTTGAACTATATTTCATGTTGTCTTATTATTGGGATATTTTGATTTCGCTTCATATCTTATGCTTTTTTTATGTCTTGTATTATTCACTCATTAGTATATAAAAAATTTATCATTTTATGTTTACGCATTCTTTTAATTTTGAGGCTTACGCCTCGCCTCACGAATGAAAAACGCTTCAATACCCGAATACACAATTTTAAACATTGGAATTAATAACTCTACCTTTCTGGGGCTGATTACCAAGCTGGGAATGACAAATCTGTATCTTTAGTTTGAGAGGGAGTGTTAATCCCAGCCGTCCCTTGGTATTTTGATCCCACAACTAGGATGGGGATCCATGGGATACTCACCTAGATTGTGACGATCTACGTCGTCCCTTGACATTTCGATCCCACGGCTAGGATGTGATCTATGGGAGGCTCACTTAGATTGCGCCGATCTCCTTCCATATTTAGGTGTCTGATTTATGAATGATTATATTAGAGCAATTATGTATGATTACATAATTATTGAGGTATGTCTCCCCCTCCTCCAATCTGATCCCTTCTAAGCTCTGTAGCCCCACCAGAAATCCTCCTCCCACCTATTATATGATCCTCACCATGGTTTTAAGTGACATCATGGTTTTGGATAACCCTGCATCACCCTTCTTACCTCCACCACCAGCTCATCATCTATGCTCCCCAATTAACCTTGGTATCCCGTAAGATCTGTAGTCATTTCATCCCCATGATGACATTAATGCTTCCCAACTCTAATGGAAGGAAGTCCTCTCTCATTTAAACCTCGTATATGATCAGAACCGCTCCTCTACCCGTCTCCACCTTCTTAGTGCCCATAATCATTCCATAACACCCTGTATCCACCAATTTCACCCCCAATTGGTCTACAACCTAATTAGAGATAAAATTGTGGGTCTCCCCATTGTCTATCAACACCGCCACCTCCTTGTCTGCTATTTCTCCTTTCACTTTTATGGTGTAATTTGGAGTGAATCCCACCATTGAGTTTAAGGAGACATCCATCATGTCCAAATATAGCTCTTCCTCTTCTACCGATGCCTCACTCCTACCTCCCTCAACTTCCTCATCATCGCAGACGGTGAGAACCTAGAGAGTTCAGTCCTTATATCTATTCCCCGGTGTATACTTTTCATCACATCTGAAGCACAATCCCTTATCCTTCTTCTTCCACAGCTCCTTCGCAGTGAGCTTCTTGAAATTTCCCCCGACCGCCCCTCCTACAGGCTTCTCCTTTAGGATCTCTCAAAGGCTACATGGTGTTGGTCCCGTTGGTGCTAAAATAGTGGTGATCATCCTGTATGAACCTTATGAGCTACTGCCTCTGGCACCACTCTCTAGGTGTTTTTGGTCCTCCACTGACTCTGCTAGCTCCATAGCCTCTCACAAGTCATGAGACCTCATCACTCTAAATGCTGTCTGGATATCTGATTTGAGCTATGTGGGCTCCAAAAATTTGGCCTCGACCTCCACATGTTGCTTTTTGGGGGTGTTTTAATGGATTAAGTTCCAGGGTAAATTTTGGGAAGGCAGATGAGTTTGTAGAGAAGACACTACCTAGAGATTTCACCCTCATTTTTTGAGGACTTTATGATATGAGTTATGGTTTCCTATAGGCGCAAACCCCTATAGTTAATTACCCCTTCTGATAACGAGAGAGAACTTTCGATTAAGGCTACTTATCAAATGAATATATAGTATCCGTAGATACGTGATATTCAACATATAGTAGCAGCATGGGCTTAGGGATACTTGGAAGTTTGGTTGAAAATTTTAATATTTTAAAATTGAAGTTTCATCATTTTATACTTAAAG